GATCAAGAACTAACTATTGGGACTTTGAACTATCGGTATACATAAAATTTGTGAAATGATTCATGCATATTTGTTGCTTGGGGCAACAAGTTGGTAAGGATTCAAATTTTTCTATCCATTTCAATCACTCTTCCTAGCTATTGGCTCAAATACAAGTAACCTCTCCTACTTTTCATTTCCTTCTCTTTTTCAGTTTTTTTTTTAAATCTCTGTTCACGCTTTAACCTCTTGCAAGTTTTTTTTCTCAATCTTGGGATCGTATGATAGCAAGTGCGGATTTGTGCTCATGCACTAATGTTCACTTTTGAGGTTAGATAGGGGGATATTTTCAGAACAGAAACGGTGGAGTGATTGCACACAAAAACAATTCAAAAAAAATAAAATTAAAACAAAAACAAAGTCCCCGGCAACGGCGCCAAAAACTTGTTGCGCCTCTACTTAATAGCCAAAGGATAAGTGCAAGTGCACACTGTCACAAGTAATAATCTGGAAATATTCCAAGTTCGTCTCCACAGGGACTAGTTTTCTTTTAAAATTGATTTTGTAAACTGCTTGAATGAGCAATCGAGTTTGGGAATAAAAATTGGTGGAATTGTTGGGAACACGAAAAACACACGAAAATAATAGAATTTAAAAGGCCAATCCCCCTACTTCTGTTTAGTTCTAATGATGAATTACACCTACCAAATGTGTCCGTAATTACGCTCAATTTATGCAAACTGGTTCAACTCCTATTCCATACCGCTTTTGGTTTGTTTAGAAGTTTAGGCTAGTGTTTACATATGTCTATGCAACTCTAGAATCCTAAATAAATCAAGTTCCAACTTACGTTTAACGGGTAAGAGAGCCTATGTCTAGGATCTTGTTTTAGTTCTTATTTCTAAGTAGCTTCCCGTTTTACCTTGATGAGATCCGTTTGACTCTAACCTTCTCAGAATTAAATTCAAACTAGTGTGATTAAAACAAGTGGCCAACAAGAAAATCAAGTGGATAAATTATATCAATCAAGATAAGCAAAGAGAGAGTCATACGCCGTGTGTCATAATTGCACTTTAACGGGACTCAAAAAGCGATTGTGCGGCACTTGCTTTCACCCTCTAGCAAGTCAGCCAATGCGGAAACGAATAGCCGGCGGCACAAAGGCTATATGTCGCAACCTCCACCCCCGTTCTCGAGAAAACAGTTTTGGAAAACAGAGTTAGAGAAAAAGGTTTTGGAAAACGTTTGAAAGCATTTTAGAAAGTTGTTGTAAGCTTGAATGCAAGAGAATAGATTAGCGGCAAGACAAGAATACAACGCAATGTAGGGAGGATGACTAGGTGTACCCCTTATAGTACATTATAAGGCATAATTACTATGGCAGACATGAACATGCAAAGTGGCGAGGAGTCACTCGCCACCAAAAGTACAAGGAAAAGAAAGTAACAAGCAAAACTAAATACATGACATAAAAGTATGTGGAAAGAAGTTGTTATGGGCATGCGGCCACGGGCAACAGGCCTTGGACAAGCATGACCATGACACCGTGCTCACTGATAGATGTAATTTAAATAGATGAACTAAACTCGTAGGAGGGTTGAAGAAACAATTTACCTACTCATGGAATTGAAAGAAATTAAAACACAAGAGAAGATAACAAAAGAAAGCATTTTAATTAGAATTGGAAAGAAGGTACAAAATGGAACAAATTGAATTGCAATAAAATAAACAAGAGTAATTGTAGAAAAATAATTGAAAGCAAAACTTAAATAAAAACTACAAAACTAAAGTAGAAAGGAAAACAAAAGCATGGAAAATGAGATGTCTTAAAGTGATGCTTGGGAGCTCCTTTTATAGGCATGAAGGTAACAAGATGTTGAGAAATGCATGAGAGGTTGGAACCAAATGAGGTTGTAGAGATTTTAGGAACTAATAACAAATCTTGGACCAATTACTTGGTCAAAAGTTGTTATTCCCGTTTTGACAATCTAGGCATCGAATGTGGCTGAAGCATTGTGAAGCTAGAACTTTCAAAGTAACTTGGCTGGCTCATTCCTCTAGTAAGCTACAAATTCTGGTCTTGCAATGTGTCTGACGCATTTTGATTATCAATCTTCACTTTTCCTTACAAAATAAGGATATTTACACAAATTAGCCTTCATTTAGCTATAACTGAATTCCAAATCCCTAATCACAAATTATGTACATTTTCCCTAAATTATATGCGTGAACATACATTTTTCATCATAATTAACTCCCAACTAAGCATGTAAAACTACTCATTTTTAGCCTTTAATCAAGTCTTATCAAGTGTATTCAATTTTTTTTTTGTTTTTTTTGCATATTAGTACATAGTTCTTTCTCTTTATTGCAGGAAATAGCAGTTTGATAGCCGCAAGGCTCCTAACCTTTTAAGTCATTCAAATTCTATATATATATGATGTCTAAAACTTTAGGTTGGATCTTGATAACCAAGTAATTAACTACTATTAATATTAGTTTTTTTTTAATAATTTTTGAATGAGAGGAAAAGAAAAGGAGGGAGGATAGAACCATTATACTAACACAGTCGATTATACTTAATCATTTATTATATTAAATGAAAAGCATTGACTCGTTATCCTAATCTTGGGCAGATAGTCATTTGCTAGAAATCTATCCAATCGAACATGGATTTGGACACGAGGGTCACGTCTATTACACAAGGTAGAATTATAAATTTAAGAATAGAATTATCACCCTATAATTGAAGACTCTATGTGGCCCAAGAGTGCAAATTTTCGAGAGTCGTTCATACTACATTGGTATCCAATGGCCTCAAATGAGGCCATCGATATTAATCTTGATGTCTCGCTTGACTGGTTTTGAAATATCATATCTTATTCGAACTATCAAAGTTTACAATCAACGTCTTCAAAACCTCTAAATGCATCTTTTAATTGTATAGCCATCGACTATTCCTACATCCCAGCGGAAGATAAAAAAATGAGTCCATAAAGAAACCATATTAAAGTCGAGGGTTGATGTCTTAATCAATCCCTATGGTTTTTTGATAGAATGTTATTTATCCTTATATTTTCTAGGTCTATTCTTCTTTATTTTCTATGTGTAATAGTTTGTTATTTTCTAAAAAATATTCTAGCTCCACGTGTAGAGGCTCATTTACTTTATATTATGAGCCTTTCTTCCTTTTCATTATTATTGAAGATTCTATTCTCCAATTGTACGGATTATTTTCGTCTACTGTCTTCTTTATGGTATCAGAGCTATAGGCTCTTCTTCTTCTATGGCGTTAGAAGCTTCTTCTTCTTCATCTGGGCAATTAACTCCTATTTCTACCCCTTTTTACTCCAATACCAACACCAGTAGTTACTCCTCTACAACAAAATCAATTTAGACCAGTTACATCGATTCCTCAGTCGATTATCCCACCATCACCTAATCCTAATACGCAAACCACTGCTCCTCGCCCATCTCTACAGCAGCAAAATCCCTATTACCCACAAAATCCTTATTACCCACAAAATCCCTACTATCCACACAACCCCTTTTCTTCGATTCCAAAAAATCCATTTCCTCCTATTTCACAACAATCATACCCACAACCTCCTCCTTCTAATCCTTCATATTATA